AAAAAAAAAAAAAGAAAAAGAAAATAATACAACTGCCAAACTATTCCTGAGCCATGTAACAGGCTGGTAAGTTTTTAATTAACTGAATGATAAACTCATATAAGTTTCTTAAGACTAAGGAGAAAATCTGCTATATGTAGGGTGATCTTATGTCCCAGTCTGGCCAGGATACTCCAGGATTCTGCAGCCCAGTCCCAGCCAGTTGGTCAAAAGTCCCAGGGCTGGAGTCTGGTGGGGAAGTGAAGCAGCATGGTGCACTAGGCAGGAGGCTGGGCAGGCACCACCGCTCCTGTGCGGGAGCAAGACAGGCAGACTGAAGCAGGTGCCACCACACCTGAATGTGGCATGCCCTTGCTCCCTCACAGCAGCAGCGGTGCCTGCTCATGTTGTTCTGCCTCCCTGCTGGACTCCAGCTTGGGACTTTTGACCAACTGGCCAGGACTGGGCTAGAGAATCCTGGAGTGTCCCGGCCAAACTGGGACACGTGGTCACCCTAGCAATATGGCCTCCCTGAAGAAGTTGAAATTATTTGTGAACGTCTACATGTGTATTTATCTAGTGTCTCTGAAATGAGGACATAGGACTCCACAGGGATTTGATATGCTCTAGAGCATGGGTAGGCAACCCCTGGCACAGGTGCTACAGCATGACACGCAAAGGCCTGCACGTGTTAAGAAAGCTCTAGAGCAGGGGCCAGCAATGTTTTTGGGCAGAGTGCCAGAAACACCCGCAACCTCAACTTGTAAGATGTTGGTGTGCCAAAGGTGGCAGCCGCGAGGGGGAGCCGCAAGGGGCCCAATTCTTGTTGTGGCAGCACAGCCCTGGCCCCTTCCTCACTGTCTATCCCGAGGCAAGAGTGCCAAGCAACAGGCCTTTGTGTGTCATGCTGTAGCACCTGTGCCAGGGGTTACCTATGCATGCTCTAGATCATATCAAAACCCTGTGGAGTCCTATGTCCTCATTTCAAAGACACTAGACACACAGACCTGCAAAATACACTGCATAGTTTAGAGGCCAGAAAGTAAAATGAATCATCAGCTGTAAATCTGGAACATGATGGTAGATAAGCAACAATATGCATTTATGAACAGGTGTGATTTTTACATAGACATGAGCACCAAGAATTAATTACTTCATTTACATTATTCAAGGACTCTAAGCTGAATCCATAGAAGTTCACTAGCCACTACAGAGTTCCCTTCAGTTGGCAGAGATTCCCAAAAGCAAGGCGGTATGTTGCAATGAACTTCAATTAGCACATCTGGCTTTCAAATTCCTATAGCTGACGCTCCTTGAAGCAGAGTTTAAACTTTAAAAGGCCACTTTCATCTCTTTCCCAATCATCACCCAGAATCTTTCCTAATGCACCGATGATTTCAGAGTTGAAGGAAAAAATAAAGAGAGCCTATGCATGTTTCCAGGTACAGCAATTTCTTTCTTGTGTGCTGTACAACAAAATCTTTTTGTTGTAATGGGGAACCCAAGTTTTACAAATTACATGCGACTGGTTCAGCAGATTTAACCTAAAGTTCCAGCTCTGGTGCAGGGAAGTGTGGTGTAGCGCTCCATCTGGGGACACAAACAAAATGGATGCTCTGAAGCAGAAACAAATATCATCTATAGCAATTTGCTCAGAAAGGCTGAAGCTCATCGCCTGGATCTCCTACAGTTATGCCTATCAGGGAGGTCTAAATTCCATGAATAAACAGGCAAGGCACTTACTTGCTTTGCTGATTAACTTTGCACATCTGCATTTTAATTCTGGTAACGGTACTAATTTATTTTGCCTAGTAGTAAAAATACTCCAGGTTTTGGCTGTTGTCCAGATCCAGACAGAGGGGAGTGGAATGTTCTCAGAATGGTTTTAAAATAGTAACACAGGAAAAAAAGTCCAGTGACCTTTATACGATTTTTGTGGGCTTTACTATTAATATTTTTAAACACAGACCCACCCACTCACATGGGTGCATTTTTTGGGAACAAAATCCTAATAATAAACATTAGCATCACAGTATTTTTCCTACGGTTCAGATTGATTTCTGACTGGAAAATTGTCTAAAAGCAACGTGATAAGGCTGCAGACAGGGCGTAAAAGCTGAATTAAAGTCTGCAGCTGACATAGGTGTTGGGTAACTTTGCACAGCAAATAACAGCAAACCAACCCTCCAAAAGAAAACTTCTGTCTACTTGGTTTTGTCAGACTCCATAATTGGGAGCTTCCACTTTACGATCCTGTTTATGTATGCCCAGCAACTTCAATTTTAAAAGGAAGTTTCAAATACAAGCTAAATTCTTCATTTGATGTATCCAACTATGACCCACCAACACAGAGAAATCTCTGTTACCCACCAACACAGAACAAAGTCCGTGGCAGCTCCTGGTTGCCACAAAGGCTGTCATACACATACAGGATAATGAGTTGTGCATGATCACTGTATTACATTATGGTTGGAAAAGTCCTCATTTCATAACTTTTATTTCAGAGATGGTGTTTCAAGACTCACTTCAATCTGAGCTGGAGAGCCAAATTCATAGTGTTTGTCTTTACATAGAAGTTATTCAGATCAGCACCAGGTACAGATGTTCAGTTTCTACTGGCAGACTCGCCATTTTCCTGATAGAAACCAGAGGTGTACAGACATTCAGGCTTTTCCTCCCAGATCAAAAATGGCCACTCTGGGAGAAAAATAACCTGGCAACAACCAGGGTTAAATCATCCCTGGAAGCGTTTCTCTTGGAATTCTGAATGTCTATACACTTTCCCCCAGTTTAACTCCTTCTTGGGACCAAGGGAAAGGCTCCCTCCCTTCCTGCGACCCCAGTCTTGAGAAGGTATAGGGGGCCGCTGCTTTCCCACTCCTGTTGGACTGGGAGGTGAGGGGAGCGGTAGCCTTTGCTACTTGCCTCTTCCTCAAACTGGGCAGTCCCCAGGAAAAGGCAGGGGCCTTTGGTGGCTCTCACCAGCTTCCCCTTGGAGCTTGCAGCTGAGGCTTGCACAGCAGCTAAATGCTCCCCCCAGCCTGGGCTCCCCGAAATCAGCCCAGGGGAATGCAAAAAGGGGGGGGGGGGGCTATTCTTCTGTGGCGG